TTCATGGCCCCCGAGTGCCAGGAAGCAGTGATGGCTGTTGGTAATGTCACCCCAAGTTGGAGTTACAGTCCCAGCACTGGCCCAAGCAAACACAAGAGGATACCAATGTGGATCTTTGTCATGGAAATGAGACTCCAGGATTGGCTAAACTTTCTCTCTCCCAGGTACCCTTCCTCAATTTGTTGTTGTTGACTTTCACGCGGGCTGAGTCCTAGACAAGAACTCAAGAGACTAACATCCTTTCTGTGCTCCCAGTAACCAGACTTGCAGACTTACACCTGGAGTTCGTGGACCTGTACATGCCGCAAAAATGCTCCACAAGCAACCATATCATTGTGCCAAGGACCACTCATCCATCCAGATGAATGTGGCCAAAGTTGACAGGGTCACAGGCCGGTTTAATGGCCAGTTTAAAACCTACACTATCTGCGGGGCCATTTTCGGCATGCAGAGTCAGATGATTCTACTCCTGGACTGGCTAAGGCTGACAGAACTGTCTCAAAGAACTTTTGACCAAAAAGATCAGGGAATATTTGTCATAAATAAAAGTGAGAAAGTTTAATAAAAACAAAAAAGATACAAGAGACTAAACAGTCCAAGTCCAAGTCCATATCTCAAGCAGAACACTGGAAGAGCCCACTGCCCAGAAACTGAAACCTACTAGGAAACCGAAAACAGGTCCATTCATTTGTTGTCCCACCACACTTGGGTGTTTTTTTTTTTTCCTTTGAAGGGTGTTGCCAGGTCCAGATCAAACCTGACCAGGGCCTCATGCATGCCTCATATACCCTACAGCAGAGCTGTAGAGTAAGCCCCATAAACAACTAGTCCCACTCAATAGAGGTAAAAGTTTAAACACCAAATGTTGAGCTGAGCTGGACAGTGGTGGCGCACACCTTTAATCCCTGCGCTCAGGAGGCAGAGCAGGTGGATATCTGTGAGTTCCAGGCCAGCCTGGTCTACAGAGTAAGTTCCAGGACAGCCCAGAGATACAAAGGGAAACCCTGTCTACCTCCTTTCCAAAAAAAAGCTAAAACATGTTATGTGTGTACATAGTACAATGCATTAAAGCCAGGGCCTCACGCTGTCCGGGGAAGTGTTCTACCATTGAACTACATCCTCAACATTTGACTCCTCAGAGTCCTTCCTTCTATTAACTCAATGGAACTTCAGCATCTCAGGAATTAGCCAGCAATCAGCTGCTATAAAACCAACTCTATAGAGAGAACAAGGGAGGCTGGGGCAGGGCCTTATAAGTAGAATGTCAACCCTGGGCCCTGCTGCTATTGCCTCAGCCTATCACCCTACAGACAATGGATTTTAATTAAACTTGGGCTTTCCTCAACTAATTGAGAATGAGCGATTAGTTCACTAATCTAAAAATCTAAACTCCCACTGACGGGTAAAGGTGCACCCCTATCCATTCCTCAGCTGGGAGGGAACCTCAGAAAACTAACTCAACACAGCAACCGATATGCATGTCTCCAGCCAGAGTCAGTCCCATCTGAATGTCTGCACTGGGCTCCTATCCTTCTGCAGGGCAATGTGTCCTGAGATGGTAACAAGTGTTAGAGTGTAAATGTCCCCCATTAAAATAAGTCACAATAAGGGAAGCAACTAGATCTGAGCCTCAGCCCCACCCTCTATAAAGGGGCTCCATGAAACACACAAAGTCACACTTTGCAAAAGACACGAGGAACACTCAGACATGACCAACTCTGAATTAAAAAGTATTGAGGGAGGCAAGGGATGGAAGTTAGGGAGAGAGGGAAGGAGGTCAGGCCAGGTCAGGCCCGACCATCCAACAGAATACACCTGAAGCCAGGCCTGGAGACACATGCCAGCACATGGGGGCAGAGGAAGAAAGGCTTATGCAACATAGAAGGCCCTATGTCTCAAGGAAAAAGAAAAAAACCCACCAGGTCTGAGAGTGCCCTGTACCACAGTACAGGACCCAGGAAACTTCAGATTTAGCTATCTCAGAAATGGTATCCGGAACTAGAGGTGGAGCTAACATGGAGGTTGGTCTGGGACAAAGGAATGCCAAGGACCAGTTCCCGGGATGGAGTGCTTGTCCAAATGTCCACTGAACTCGGGTGCCTGGGCTTCAATAATGAGGGGTGACAGGCGTCTCCAGGTCACAGGCACCACATGGCTGGAGGAAGGGCAGGCTGAGAAGCAGCCTCCTCAACTCCACCTTCCTTCCTCCTCCCTCAGCCCCCTGCAGCTCCCAGATCCTCTTCTCCCCTCCCCCAACCTTTGCAGGGGTAAGGGTTTTTGCCTATGGCTTTACAGAGGATGTGGCTGGCCCCGGCAACCTCACCAGCCCCTTTGTCTGGCTCTCTCCACCCCAACAGGAAAGGTAAAGGATTTTGCTGAGCTCCACAATTACACCTTCAGCTAGCCTCAAACTTGGTGCGGGAAGGAGCAAAAAGTGGCCCAAACCATAAAAACACAGCCCTTTTCCAAAGAGAACAAAGGGGCTGGTGATGGGATCGGCTCTGCAGGTAAAGGCGCTTGCAGCCAAGGCTGACGACCCAAGTTCGCTCTCCAGATCCACATGGTAGAGTGTCCCACCACAAGTTTTCCTCTGGACCTTCCCAATGGTCCCACGTTTGTGTACACACATACAAAGTCAAGTGTAATAATTTTTTTTTTAAAGGAAACAAAGACAGCCCTTCCTGCCAACTCCCCAGTCACAGACAATGATGGTTTAGAAATGCTTCCACATCTGAGAATGAAACAGAGTACCTCAGGAAGGCAGGAAAAGGAGGGGCTGGCAAAGGTGACTCTCCATTCCGCTCTCTGCACAGGCTACCTCAACATTCGTGTGTTGGGGCCTACCCTAGGTGCTGTGCCCACCACCTTAAAGATGGAGGGCTCAAGAGCTCAACCCGGCTTCACCCCTAAGTCTTTGTGAGCGTTGTTCCTATTGCACAGATGTAACATTTAAGATAACAATTAAGACACAAAGGATATGTGCTTTGCAATAACACGACGTAAGCACAAATCCAAAACTATGCTTGCCTGAGAAGGACAGCCTGTGCTGGGAGGTAAGGAGGCCAACTGTCGTAAACACGAGTGCTTGCTGTATTACCAACCCCACAAAAGTTTACCTTGAAGCTGGGAGATGTAACCCAGTGGTAGATGGCTTGCCTGAAATAAGGTCCTGGATTTGGTCCCAAAAGCACTAAGGGTGGGGGAGGGCACACTCCCAAATCTGGAAAAGCTAAGTATATACCTGAGGTTTCCAAGGGCCAGCACACAAGCCTCAGCAGGCCTGCTGGACACAGAAAGGTCAGTGTAAGTGCCACTAGTCCACCAAAACCCACAGCATCCACAAGGCAGGAAGCACTCTACTGGGCCCTTCATTCCTTTTCATTCATCCGCCTCAGACTGCAGAGCGGGAATCACAGGGACTCCATGCTGCAAGCCTCAGGGATGCAGGGCTTTGCAGGCTGGAGCCAGAGGCATGCAGGAGAGTACAGGACTGCAGCCACAGGTGGACTCGAGCAAGTGGACTCGAGCAAGAAACGCTGCACCTCTGGGCAGTCCATCCTTGTGCCCGCAGTGATCTCGGTTTTCTGACTGCACCTTCTACCCTGGAAAGACTCCACAGGCGTCCTTAAGCAATCCCTGAAGTACAGACACTTGTAGGCTAGAAAGTGAAGGCAAGTTTTTTGTTTTTTTTGTTTTTTAATTAAGGCTTCAGGGTATAGATTGGAAAGTGGGGCCACCTCACCCCGGAAGAAAGTTAAGAATGGAAAGTGAGCCCCTAGGGCAGCCGGCAGGGTGAGGTACCGCCCCCAGCCAGCTCCACCCTGGCCAGGTGTGCTCAGCCAGCCCCTCCCCGCAGCGGCTGCGCCTCAACTCAGGTGGCTCTGCTCCGGAGGACCCCGAGGACTACGCCCATCGGGCATCCCCACTTCTTGGTACCCAGAGCACCATCCCAACCTTGGAGGTGTCCGTCATTCGAAGTTCCAAGCCAGAAGGGATCCACCTCCACCGCCACCTGGACGAGACAGCTTCTTCCTCTACATCCGGACCATCCCTCCCTGAGGAGGCTCCGGCTGAGACCCGGGCCAGGTAAGGACACCGGGTCCCGGGGACAGCCACCCCTCGAGCCCCTTTCCGCTCCCAAGTGCCCTCACCTCCAGATTCCAGAGAAGCTGCATGTAACACGTCTCCTCCCCTCAACTCTTCAGAGTGGTGGGGTGCAGCGGAGGCGTCGCTTCCTCGGTCCCCATGCCCGGTCCCGTGTCCCCGTCCCGCTAAGCACCATGCGCCCGGTTCCCCTCCGGTTCCTCGCAAACCTCCAGGAGCCTCTAGGGGACCTGTCGCCCCGGCACCCACCCCACCCTAGCCTCCAGGTTCCGGCCCCCCGGGACCACCCTCGGGGCGCGGGGCGCTCACCTGCCGCGAGGTTTGCTGTGGCGCGGCGCGGCGGGCGCGCCGCGGGTCGTGGCCAGCGGACGGCGGCGCGGGGTGCCGGGCTCGCGAATCTCCGGCGCCGATCGCCGCGCTACGTTTACTTGGGCCGCTTAACCCCCGCGCTGCCGGCCGGGAGCGGCCGTGCGCTCGCCCGCGCGCCAGTGGGGCCACCCGGGGTTTGGTCCGGGGCGCTCGGGCGGGAGCGTCCACGCGGGCTGCAGCTGCGAGGCGAGGGGCGGCAGCGAGGACGCTGCGGGGCCAGGCGCGCACGGGAGTGGGTGGGGAGGGGGCGGCGCCGCTGCCCTTGTAGCCCCGGCCCGGCCCTCGCCCCGCCCCCGCCCGGGGGGCGCCCCCGCCGCAGCCACTCACCGACCGGCCGGGCCAAAGGGACGGGCGAGGGAGATTTGAAATCCCTTCCCGAGCCTCCTCGCCCCGCCTCCTCGGGCGCCGCCCCTGGGCCCCCTATGTCTGGAGGGTCACCCTCCGGAATGATCCGAGCCCACGGGGACGCCACCTGAGACGCCCCCTTTATCCTGTCCCCCAAACCCCGAGCGGACGCACACACTCACATGCAAGCGCACACAGATCTGGATGCACGGCCCAGAGAGGGAAAAGCCCCAGCTGGAGTCACACAGCAACCCTGCATCCGCTTTTCCACCACCCCTCCGCTGCAAAGGCTGGCCAGGGCGCTGGGCCGGCCTTGCAGGTCACCCGCTGGGGACCCCGCTACTGCTTCCTGCCTTCACCTAGCTTGGCCTTTGTCAGCCATTTTGAAGGGAAAGGAGGCCCTTGGAGGAAGAAGAAGCATTCTGTGTTCCCCCGACTACCTGGGTTCCCGTGCCAGCTGGGGAGAAGTCCTGCTCCGCAGCTTAGGGCTGCCTCGGCCATAAATCCCACTCTGAGACCAGTGGAAAAACACTAATATTTATGATAGGCACCTGGCGTTTATATTTATTTCTTTATTCGCTCGTTTGCCTGCTTCTTGTCTGTCTCCATACATTAGATGGTGAACATCAAAGTAGATGAATAGACAGAACGACTGATCGCAGTGACTAACTCCAAGGCCAAGCATGCGCAGGCTCCACGCATCTCCTACTCTGTTGGCTCCCTGACTTCACTCAACCTCTTCTCTGCTTTGCTGTTCTCCCTCCGATGCACGAAGCGTTTTCCTTACGATGGATGCTTTGGCTTCTTTCCACCTCTTCGTTTCCTTAGATCTGACACAGGAAGAAGCTTTCTCATTACTATACGGAACAGTCTTTGCATCCTTCTTCTATCCTTGTGTTCCCATAACTAACAACTTAAACCTCTCTGAGATTGTTTTGTATATTCTTGTCTGTATTTCCCTTGGGGTGGGGGCAGGGGGCCTCACTCTAGGAAGATGGAAGCCACGTCTCTCTGTCTCTATAGCCCACGGGGGGCTGGCATCAAAAGGAACTAACTCACACAAGTTTGCTGAATGAATGAATCTCCACAGGTTTCCTGCCTCTGGGGCTCCAGCTTGAGTTAAACACAGCTTTCCTCCTGCACCTATTCCTGGGAGTAAATCAGCAAATGGGGGTTACTTTGGGAGACGTCAAGTTTCAACACTTTCTGGGCCTTGTTCCATTTAAAAAAGAATAGCAAGGCCAAGAGACAGAAGGAGGAAAAGCCCTTAAAATAGAGCTCAGCCTGGGCCTGGCTTCACGGGGAGGACCAGTGGGAACTTCTTGGCAAATGGGTAAACAGCTCTGAAGTGTGACCGGAAGGTTGGTGCAGAAAGAAGCAGATGTCTTAAGCATCCAGATTAGCAGGCGGTCTTGGTCTTGTCGTTTGGAAAGGACCATAACTATCAGGAGACTAGCCCGGCGTAGTGGATCCTGCAGGTAATACCACCTCTTGGGACTTAGACCATTCCAGGCCATTCTCAACTACATAGCAAGTTCCAGGCCATACTAGGCTGTGTGAGACCCTGTCTAAACCCCCCTCTTCCCTACCCAGAAAAAAAAGATCAGGAAAATGGGAGTAAGAAAACTACCCACAGGGCTGGACAGATGGCTCAGTGGTTAAGAGCACTTGCTAATCTTCCAGAGGATGAGAGTTCAATTCCCAGCACCCACATGGCAGCTAACAACACATCTGTAACTCCAAGACCCTCTTCAGCTTTCCACAAACATTCATGAAAGCAAACGCTGTACACACAAAATAGTAAACTTATTTTAAAAGGAAGAACACTACCTCTAAGGAAGTGTGGCCCATACCTTTAATCTCAGCGCTTCAGAGGTAGAGACAAGAGGATCTCTGTGGGTTGGAAACTGACCAGCAAGTCTCCATTGCAAGTTCCAGGTCAGCCAGGGTTATGCAGGGAGACCTTGTTGAAAGAAAGGAAATAATCTCAAGAGAGCACAAAACTTTACAGTTTGAAAACTCATTGGTCAACTCACTTGAGCCACCAGACTCCCCAGCGAGGAGCATCAACCTGTGTTTGGAGGAGTGAAGAGAAGGCCGGAAGAGGGAGGCATTTATATAATACTACCTTGATGGAACACCTGTATGTGGAGGTTTGCCAGCAGAGTTTATTGTAAGGTATAACTGGTCATAATCATTACAACCGAGATGATAATCACTGTGCCTGAATGAGATTAGGGTTGGGTGTGTAGCTCTGTGGTGGAGGGTTTGCCTAGGAAGTGCAAGCCCCGAAGTGCAAGCCCCTGGAGCTCCATCCCTAACGCCATACGCGCATGCACGTGCACGCACACAGAGATCTGTGATTAAAGCCCATTTGTTTTCCATTCAAGAAACAAAAAGCTGGGGTTGGTGGCACGCACCTTCAGCTCTCGCTCTTGGGAAGTGAAGGTGGCAGGATTGGTAGGAATCTGAGACAGGCTGGGCTACATGGAGAGTTCAGGATAAGCCTGGACTGTATAGTGAGATGCCTCCCCCATCCTTCAACAAAGAAGGAAGAAAGAAAACACACATGCAAAAGGATGTCCTTGCTCTTAACATACAGGAAATATCTAGGAAAAGAGTATAATGTCACCTGTTTACACTCTCATACAGGAAATCAAATGCATATATATGCAGGAGGCAGATTTGAAAGCAAATGAGACAAAATATAAACAAATGGGTTATCTGCTTTTAAAACTTTGTATATTCTTTGTCTTATAATGTAAAATAAAATGTGTTTCATTTATTTATCTGGGGTGGCAGCCAGAGGTCAGAGGACAGTTTTTCAGGGCTCTGCTTTCCACTGTGTGGGTTCTGGGGCTTGAACTCAGCTCTTCAGTCTTGACAACAAGCACCTTTACCCACTGAGGCATCTCACCAGTCCTCTTAAGTTAAACACTGGCATTCGAGAGCCAGGTGTGGTACACCTCTTTAATCCCAGCACTTGGGAGGCAGAGACAAGTAAATCTTTGTGAGTTCAAGGCCCAGCCTGGTCTTCATATATATTCATATATGAAGAGCCCTGTTTTACAGTTGAGGCCACTAAGGCTCCAGGAGGAGAGAAGGTTTGACCCTAGAGCCACAGCTGGGTCGGTGGCAGAGCTGGGACAACACAGCCAGCTTATCATCTGCCTCCCTGTGATTCCCCCCCCCCTCGTGTGTACCAAGCTGAGGAGTTAGAGCCCCATCCCAACTCTAATTGGAATAATAATGAGAGTGGGGCCCATTTCCCAGAGGGACAGCGGGGGTTCTCCCAGCCCGTGTAAGTAAAAGGACCCAATTGTAAAGTACTCAGGCCTGATGGCTGTGTCATTAGAGGCCACCTTCACTAGTGAAGCTTGCTCCTCACTTTTCCTTTTCAACAGGAACACACATGCCTATTGCCCTGGTCCGATCATTTAAACCCCCTGCGATCCCCCGTGGACCACTGACGATTTTCTTAACTGGCGCGGACTAGACTAGTGTTCACCAGTTTGTTGGTGGTGGTTGTGGTGCCTGGGGCTGGAACCCAGGGCCTCACACTTACTAAGCCAACATTCTGGCCCCCTGATGGGACTTTAAGTCATCCACCATTTTTGCTGACCAAGAGCAGGCAACACCTCTACCCTAAATTATGCACTCAGTAAATACCTGTTCCCTAAATCTCTCCATTTTCATCTCCCCACATACGCTGATCCACTGCCTTCAGACAAAGCAGCGACTATCCCTGAAACTTCTTGGAAGCTCAGGCTTAATCCCCAAGGGGGAAGATGGGTTAGGGCAAACATAGTCGGCCAAATTTATGCTCTGGGAGCCAATGAGGGAGCTAGGGGGTCCTGTGGCTTCCCGTCTCTGGGTGCAGACGTCACGGCAGGGACTGAGGCCCTGGACCTCAGTGTTGCCCTTGGCTGCGTGCCTGTTTTCAGATCCAGTGTCTACTTCCTACTCTGTTCTGGCTTCGGACTCGGCCTGCTCTGGACTATTTTTGTTTTATTTTATTTTATCTTATTTTTATAGTGTCAGGGAGAGATCCCAAGGTTGTACACATGCTCGGCAGGCACTCTACCATTGAGTCCAGCCCTTGACTGCTAAGAATCCCCCTGGTCAGCTGGGCGAGGTGGCACACGCCTTTAATCCCAGCAATCCGGAGGCAAAAGCAGGCGGATCTCTGTGAGTTTGAGGCCAGCCTGGGCTACACAGAGAAACCCTGTCTCGAAAAACAAAAAGTCAAACAAAACAAAACAAAAAAAGAATCCCTCAGTTCTAACCAGTCCCTATCTCTTCATTGTAGTAGCTTTCCTCCTCCAAGCTCCCTAAAGTCCAGATTCACAGCCTGCAGACAATCCTGCTTAGGCTGGGCTTAGGAAAATGACCTGGCGGACTGGGGGTAAGCGGGGGAACGCAGGAATGGCAGGCCCCGCGGCCGTCCCGCCAACCCCCCCCCCCCCCCCCCCCCCCCCCACCCCCCCCCCCCCCCCCCCCCGCCCTCACGCTGTCCGGGACCTGCTTTATACTTGCTCATATCTCAGGCCTACCCACAGCTCTCCTTCCCCAGCCTCTCACCCCCCCCTAGATACCTTCTCCTTCAGATGGCTTTTCAAACAGTGTGCTAAACACTTGCCTAGCATGCAGGAGGCCCTGGGTTCAATCCCCAGGTTGAAAAAAAAAAAAAAAAAAAAGAATCAATCAAACAAACAATGCACATCAGCCTCATTAAACACAAAGTCGCAGAAGAGAGGAATGATTCCTCTTGTCCCTAGCACATAGTAGGTGCTTAGTAAATAGCTACTGCTTTTCTGACTGAGTGATTGAATGGGCTCTGCCATATCTCAAGAAAGGAAAGTATTTTAGAAGGAAGCATCGCTCAGGTTAACACTTCCCAGGTTAAGCCCCCAGCCAGGTTCACAGCATCCAACAGGGACCAGCTTTGCAATTCTCCATGGGGCATGCCAGGCATTCACTTTACAATTGTTCTGAAGAGAAAAACAACACACACAATGGCCAAGCTAGGCCTCATTTTCTCAAGCAAAGTAATTCCTCCCATGAATTTGAAATGAGGGGTGAGATTTCCGAAAGGTACAGGGCATTATCACCCCTGCGCTCAAACCAGGAACTTGTAATAGGTCCTTTAAAAGGCAAATTTCCCAGGTGGACAGCTTTAATGCCCCATGGCAATTAGGCAAAAGAATCTTAGTTATTTTTATATTTTTATTTTTTATTTTGAGACTGGGTTGCTCTACAAACTTCTGGCTGGCCTGGAACTCACTATGTTGACCATTCTAACCTCCAATTCACAGACATCCTCCTGCCTCTGCCTCCCCAGTGCTGGGATACAAAAGGATCTTTAAAGGAAAACACTGTTACCTGAGGAATTCGACTTTTAAAAGAAATGCCCAGAGAGTCGTTTGAGATTTGGAGGAATTTTTAAACAAATAAGCAAGTTCACGACCAAAACCGACAGAGAAACCAAAGAATTAGAGCTCCCCTTTAAGCATAACAGCCAGGCACAGTGG